TCCCCCCCCGCCCCCCCATCAATTCAGAATGTAAACAGAACTCCCATTCGGGACGCACACATATTTCCTTTTCGGGACATAAACATAGTTTCCCATTCGGGAAAGGAAAAAAATTACAACTCGATTTCCCTGAACGGGCCGAAATCCATTTTCAAATAACGCCCTGCTAGCCAATTACGCTTTTTTCTTTTTTTTTTCCTCTTTTTTCTTTTTTTTTTCTCTTTTTTCATTCTGGAGGGGTGTATGGCTGTCTTTGAGACGAGCATCATTTATCTGGATTTTATCTTGGGTCTGTATTTCAACAGTTCATGGGTGTACAAACTGAGTGAGCGAGGCTCGTTGGTCCTGCTACCTTCTTCCCCCGAATAGAACGTACGGTCATTATGCGTGTATTTGTGGCAGCTTTCAGTCTACATACAGCCATACTGAGCTGTACTTTCTATTCGAGGGAAGACGGTAAGCCAATTCTTCATTGCTTTGAAGTTGAAATAAAATTCTGCACATCCCATAGGCCGCATACTTCTCCGCATTTTTCAAAATTTCTTTATTGCTTCTTTTTTAAAACTTACTTTTTGGAATTCTTTTCTGCATGTTTTGGGCAGAGCCACGTACTTCTCTCCTCAGAGTTTGTTTTTCCTTTTCCACAAGAAAACAATTCACTTTTTGGGTTAACTAAATAAAAACTACTACTATATTTGATTATTGTAAAATAGGTAAAGTCTCAAATTTCCAAAAAATAAAATAAAATAAATGATAAAGAATGATAAATTATATTTTTTTTAACTAAAATTCATATAGATTACCTAACAGCATGGATAAGCTGACGTTAACTCGTGAGACATAAAACGGGTTCATAGTAACTATATACATAATATCAAATAACGCAAATGTTTTAATGAACTAATTGATTAAAACGCAAATGTTTTAATGAATTAATTGATTAAAATTTTCATTTGGAGCAGGCATAACGTGAACCATCCAGTGCACACACACACACACACACACACACACACACACACACACACACACAGGTAGCAGATGTAGCTCCTCCCCCTCCTTTACTCGCCCCATACACAAAAGACAAAATATGTCGGTGTATCTTCCCGCGTTCTAGCGGAAGATTCATTCTCATTTTGCACATTTGGTGACTACGGTAGTGGAGCCAGGCCCCATCCATTCCCGGAACAAATCACCGTAGTAAGTCAGGAATTACCAAAAGCTCCCAAAAATAAACCCAGCTACCACACCACACATACCACCACCTTTTTTTCCCCCGATCGTCAACAAAAATCGAAACAACTTACTTTTGTTTTCCCTTCCTTTTTTTTTCCACTACTCTCCAAACGATACCACAACCTTATCCACTGTATATCCACACGCACATAAAGCGGATATGTGGACACATTCACGCATATACCACAACCTTATCCACTGTATATCCACACGCACATAAAGCGGATANGTATATCCACACGCACATAAAGCGGATATGTGGACACATTCACGCATATACCACAACCTTATCCACTGTATATCCACACGCACATAAAGCGGATACGTGGACACATTCACGCATATACAGAGACCTGAGTTCGACTCCAGATGGAAGTAGATATAAGTGAAATCCTTGAGAAGTATATTTGTTTCTGTACGAAACTCCCCTAACCCAACACGGGCCTACCTCAGCTAGTACACACCCATGACCTGGCTTTGAAACAAAGATCTAGGGTTAGGGCCCATTAGGGCCCATGAGCTGGTGAAATACAGACCTACCGGTAGGGCCCATTAGGGCCCATGAACTGGTGAAACACAGACCTAGGGTTAGGGCCCATTAGTGCCCATTAGGGCCCATGAAGTGGTGAAACACAGACCTAGGGTTAGGGCCCATTAGGGCCCATGAACTGGTGAAATACAGACCTACCGGTAGGGCTGGCCCTACCTTCTTCCCCCGAATACAACGTGCGGTCATTATAGGTGTATTTGAGCCATCTTTCAGTCTAGATACAGCTATAATGACCGTACGTTGTATTCGGGGGAAGAAGGTAGTTCGAATACCTAGGGCTGGCTTACTCCCCATTTCCTCCTCCTCCTCCTCCTCCTCCTCCTCCTCCTCTCCCTTATGTCTTTTCTCTCACATGCTCACGATCAGCAACAGCATGACCACCTTCCTCCTCCATTGTCCTAACCCTATTCTCCTACCCTCTTCCCCCGAATAAACTCCCCACGGTTATGTTCGTTGTATGTAGACGGAAAGTTGTCACAAACACGGGCTGTAATGACCGGGCGTTGCATTCGGCGGCGGAAGAGGCTGGAGCTCCATTTGCCTTCTTTTTCTTTTTTTCTTTTTTATTCTTTTTTTTTGCCTTTTTCCACCTAAGCTCCCCAAAATTCCGGTCACTTATTTTGTCCTTTCCGCGCATGGCAATCCATTTCTTTCTCTTCCCCGCCTTCGGGGCTCGCTCCGCTGCTCAACACTCCACATGAATCTGGACTGAAATTTGACCAGATACACTCGGACGGATCGAACGTCTTGAATGTATTGAGACCATTCTCAGATCCAGATACATTTAGAAAGTTCAGTAGTGGAGCGAGACCCTTTCTCTTCTCCGAATCATCCGCCGTCCTCGGGCAATCGTCGACGTGAGTCTTTTCCTCTTTCTCCTCCCTTCTCCTTTTTCCCCTAAAGCCACTGTTCTCTTCCTATTTAAAACAAACGCACAACACTGGCACCATTTCGCGCCAAATTTTTGCCGCCCCATATTGCGCGCCAAACCACCCCTGCAGCGAACCTCCTCCCCCCCCACGTGAAAATTCTTTTTCCTTTTTCTTTTTCACCCCACGCGAAAATTCCATCACTTCGCTTCTCTAGCCCCCTTCTCCACTCCGGTCGGATTCTCAGCGCATACTCACACTACGGCTTTTTTTCCTAAGCTCTGGACGTGATTGCGATCAGATTCATCTAGAGAAGTATCTGGCCGTAATTGCAGTCAGATGCATCTACAGAAGTCCTACCAGTGTTCGTATGCACCCCAGAACCCCCTTTTTGTTGTTCCTCTCCTGAAAAACAATCACCCCTATCATTCCTGTATTCATTCTGATCTCATCGGGAGTCGAACACATGATCTGGTTCTTACGGATATTTGATGTCGTCATCCGTCTCCGGAAACAGGCAATTCGACCATTAATTACTCTGCTTGTCACTGAGTTTTCATCTGAATTTTCATCTATTAGGTGAGCGTTTACCATTCAGAGCCACGTGGGCTGTGGCTATTCACGGAACTTTCACCTCCATATTCCCACGAAATTCATCTCTAAATATATTATAATGTTAAGGAATGTTTTATTCAACTTGCTATGCTACTATTCGCACAGCGCTATTTGACTGAGTTTTCACCTGAATTTTCATCTGAATTTTCATCTGAATTTTCATCTGTTTTCTCATGCGAAATATTGCTGTGTGAATAACGTAGAAAGATTCACAGTAATAAATAAAACATTTCATCACGATGCCATTCACACCGATATTCACTAATCATCAATGCGAACGACCATCTAGCAATCAGGGGAGAATCCAATTAGCAACGACGGAATCCGTTTAGCAATCAGGGGAATCCAATTAGCAATGACAGAATCCGTTTAGCAATCAGGGGAATCCAATTAGCAATGACGGAATCCGTTTAGCAATCAGGGGAGAATCCAATTAGCAATGACGGAATCCGTTTAGCAATCAGNTTAGCAATCAGGGGAGAATCCAATTAGCAATGACGGAATCCGTTTAGCAATCAGGGGAATCCAATTAGCAATGACGGAATCCGTTTAGCAATCAGGGGAATCCAATTAGCTACGGCGGTTCGAGCCACCGTCACGACCATCACCATCTCCTGGAAGGATCGGACCAACCCCTGCAGACAAAAGGAGGGGGGGGGAGGGGAGGGGAGGGGGGGCAAGTGGGAAGAGATGGAAATCCTACCGGTAGCCGTCGGATCATCCATCCGATGAATGTGGACTGAAAAACGACGGGCCTCCTGTGGCGTGGTCCTACTGCCGTCTTCCCCCGAACACAACGCACCCTCATTCTGACTGTATCTGGCCGGAAACATACCTCGTATACCTTCCTTTTCAGGGTGCGTTGTGTTCGGGGGAAGACGGTAGCAACGGGGATTTGAATTAAGCGCCCGGAATCTGGATGAGTTTTATGCAAAGATGCAGAAAAGCACATCAATCGCAATTTTCTGCACATATGCACAAACACGTCCAGATTCAGGCGTTAAATCCAATCCCCTCTTTGTTAGTGCGACCTCGTCCACGGTAACCGAAAAGAAAAAAAAAGGATGCCCATAAAAAGTAGAGAGTGGTGGCTTTAAGGAGAAAGACAAGCAATGGCCGATTGCTCTTCACACGCAATTCACATGATATTACAATCAAGAAATACAAGCGTGTACTTGAGCTCAAACCCTATCAAATCATTTGGGCAAAAAAAAAAAAAAAAAAACGTAATGCTCGTGTCGAAAATCACCCCCATTTTCTTATGCGTACCCTCTTATCTCAAATCGTCTAGTTATGCACTTTGAACGTCGCAACCCCCGATCGGGACTCGAAGAATACTTCCAAAAAAAAAAAAAACTCTAAAAATATACTTTGAAAATGGGACTCGAAGAATACTTCCAAAAAAAAAAAACTCCTCAAAAATTGAATACTGTTAAAAAAAAAAAACTCTACAAATATACTCTGAAAATAAACTCTTCAAAAAATACTCAAAAAATATATTTTAATTTAAAAACATATATACTCTGACAGTATTCCAAAGTATACTCAGACAAAAAACTCTACAATATAGTCCCAAATATAACACAATTCAGATGCTCATACTATAATCATATGATATAATCATATGATATAATCACGATTTAATCACGATATTATAACAGACGTAACGATTTTGGCATAATAATAATTACATAATAAAGAATGCTGTGAGCAGCAAACACTGCCTGAGAAACTGAGCGTCGCAACCCCCGATCGGGACACATAGATAGTGCCATCCGCAAATACGCGACATAAAAAAATACGGCATTTGGCTTAGGTAATATACTCGTCGAGCGTGCTCTGATTTCCGTCATTGTTAATTAGACTCCCTTATTGCTAAACGGATTCCTCAATTGCTAAACGGATTCTCCCCTGATTGCTAAACGGATTCTCCCCTGATTGCTAAACGGATTTCCCCTGATTGCTAAGCAGATTCCGTGACTCCTAAGTGAATTCCTCAATTGCTAGACGGATTCCGTCATTGCTAATTGGATTCTCCCCTGATTGCTAAACGGATTCCCCTGATTGCTAAACGGGATTTCGTGATCGCTAGACGGATTTCATGATTGCTAAACAGATTCCTCTCTACTCTTTCGGCTTTCTCTAGAAGGGGGGGGA